ACAGTGGGGGAGGATTTACTGCCCCGGTCTCCACCTATGGTTTATGGATGCAGGGTCAGGGACATGAGAAGTACTGGAATTCTGGCCGCCAGTGAAGACTGAGGCAGAGAACTCAATCAGTACCTCAGCCTTCTCTTCGTCCACTGAAGCCTTTTACATTTACCTCCTTTTACATTTACCAAAGGAGGTACACTCGCTTTGACCTGTCTCTTCTGGCCAATGTACCTATAGAAAGTCTTCCTACTGTTTTCCATGTCCCTTGCCAAGTTCAGTTCTGCCTGCACCTTGGCTTTCCTGATCCCACGTCTGCAAATCCGGACGGCATCCCTGTATTTTTCCCAGGTGACACGCCCATGTTTCCAGAGCTTGTATGCACCTTCTTCGCCCTCAGCATGCCAGCAGGTCCTTGCCGAGCCACGCCGGCTTCCTATCTCCTCTGTCCACTTTCTTATTCAGAGGGACGGAGAGCTCTTGTGCTCTCAGGAAGGCATCCTTGAAGAGTAGACAGCTCTCCTCAACATCTTTGTTTTTAAAGACAGCATCCCAGGGGATCTTGGCCAACAGCCCATTGAACAGCTTAAAGTTCGCCCTACCAAAGTTCAGGGTCCTGACACCAGTCTTTGCCAGGTCCACATCCATCGAGATCACAAACTCAACCAGGGCGTGGTCACTGCAGCCCAGGCTGCCTCCAACCTTACCACCCGCAATGAATTCCTCTGCATTGGTGAGCAGCAGGTCCAGCAACGCTTCACCTCTGGTCGGTCTGTCCAATACCTGGACCAGAAAGTTATCATCAATGCATTCCAGGAGCCTCCTGGACCTCCTGCAGCTCACCGTGTGGTCTTTCCAAGAGATATCCGGATGGTTGAAGTCCCCCATCAGAACAAGAGCCCACGAGCACAAAGCCCCCTGCACTGGAAGCAAGAAAGCCTCCTCAACAGTCTCCCCTTGATCAGGTGACCTGTAGTATATACTGCTATCACCAGCTGACCTTTGTTAGACCCATCCCTAATTCTAACTCACAGGCTCTCCACCTGTTCCTGACCATTTCTCAGAGGAAGCTCCTCACAGTCTATCCACTCTCTGACATAGAGGGCAACTCCCCCACCCTTCCTACCTTGCCAATCCCTTCTAAAGAGCCGATATCCCTCATTAGTGGTATTCTAGGTATGGGAGTCATCCCACCATGTTTCCGTGATAGCAACAAGGTCATAACTTTCCAAGCGCATCACAGTTTCCAACTTGTGCTGTTTATTTCCCAGGCTGTGTGCGTTGCTTTCCATCTCACCGCCTTTAAGAGGATGTAGGATCCCCTAGAACAGCAGCATCCCCGGCATCCCCTTTATACTCCAGGGTATAAAGGAATGACAGTCTCCCAATACACCCAAAAACTCTAGCAGCTGCTTTTGGTGTGGTAGGGACTGGGAACACATGATCCCTGTCTATTATTGCACTGGGCTGTACTTTGATCCTTCCCAATCAAACTACACCCAGGAATTTCACAAACAGGCCTGGTCCCTGCACCTTCTGTGGGTTTATAGCCCACCTTTTCTCTTGTAGATAGGTAGTCAGCAAATCTTACTGCCTTTCATAATGCCTCCAGTGAGTCAGAAATCAGCATGAGATCATCAGTATAGTGGTACAGTTTGATGTTATTAGGATTATTCTAATTGGCGAGGTCATGTACCACTAGGTTATGACAATATGTAGGTGAATGTACGTGACCTGAAAGGATGGCAGGACCTGAAAGGTCACTGCCTGCCTCCCCACGTGGATGCAAGCTGATCTTACAATTCTTCATGGATGGGAATACTAAGGAATTCATTTGCCAAATATAGGACACAATCATAGGTTTCTATCTTCCTACTGAATGTGTTCATGAGAGATGCGGTATTGGGTATGGCTGCATGCACAAGTGGTGTGACCTTACTGAATTCTCTGTAATCCACTGTCATTCTCCATGTCATGCTGTCATGCTGTATGACTTCCATATCAGCCATATAGAGGAATTACGTAGGCTATGTGCAAGTCTTGATACACACTTTTTCTAGTTCTTCTTCTAGTTCTTGCACCATTCTTGAGATTTCCTCTTGCTGTCCCAGGAGTCTACTCTTTTTTGTATTAGTAATCCAGCACAGCTCTGGCAGGCAGATAGGCTCATGTTTCACATGGCCTCTTAATATCTCCTGTACCACCTGGATACTAATACATCTCTCTCTCAGTCTGAACTCTTCCACAGTCAGTGGAGAGTCAGATCCCATAATATGTGTATGCCCATTATTTATTCTAGGACTGGAGAAATAGATACCTTATACTCCCAGGACGGGAGACACCCAACTCGTAAACTTCAACCATGTCTGGGTTACAGGGATGGTCTGCCCCCAAACCCACCAATCACTCCATCTCCCTGAAATTTAGTCAGATCACCATAAATAATTGAGGTTTCTGTGCCTGTGTCCACTAATGCCACCACTCTTTGTATATTTTTCTGGGACCAAAAGACAGCCAATTCTACATAGGGCATCTGGTCCTGTCTGGGTGCCCTAGTTGCAGGGGGGCTGACCTTCCCCACCATGCAAGTAGTTGCACAATCACCAATTTTTTTTTCTCATGTGGCTTGGGCATAATCACCCAAGTCATTTCAGGAGGCCTTTTCCTTTTTTTTAGGAACTATAAAATCTTCTAGGTTCCATGCTCCCATTAAAACATCTTCAATAATTCTTACCCTACTTTTCTGGGGGTGTTTCGAAATTTTTTATTTTCCTCCAGCTGCTTCCATAGCTGGAGGAGAACATGATTGAGCTGGTGATCAATTTTTGCAAATTAAACTCCATCCTGGATTAAATCATTGAACTGTCTGTTTTGAGGTTATTCGCATGAGTCCCAGTCGTGATGTCTATTGTGCAGGCCTCCTAGTTTTAGCTATGCGTAAGACCTCAGACCCTTCCAACATCCCAATATTGTGTCTGGCCCTCAGGCACTGTTTCCCTCTGATTGGCTACTAACTGGGCGGCCTGTTGGACAGTGGCCTCTGAGGCCACCAGGGGACTTAGTATAGACACTAGTGTGCCATACCAGTATGGCAGGTGTTTGTTGTAAGATGAGATCTCTTATCCCTATTGAAAACTAGGTCTGGACTTTCAAACACATCCTCACAGATTGCCTCTTCCATACCTAATACTCCTGCGTAAGTTTGGAGTTCTTCCACTGAAGTCTATAAACTGTATTTATGGGAATGAAATTTTTATTTGGCCATGAGATTCTACACATTAACCACTGGATTTTCCTGATTGTGCTGGACTGCAGCATAAATCCTTTGCCTGAGGGCAGGGGGAGTAGTGATGAACACCAGCTTTGAAATTTCTGGCCTGCTCACTGTGACGCTTTCCACCCCTATATCCCACAGCCTAAGCAGCCATTCTGGCACACTCATTTGGTTTTTGTCTAAAATGTTCTAGCAGATCCCTTCAGCTCAGCAGCCATGCACAGGCATGCCATCATATTTAAGATGGTGTGGGCAGGGGGCCATTCCTCAGGTGGAAAACCCACCAGTCTGTCCTGGACTTCCTTTGTTTTTTGGGTTATGATTGGTCTTATCTCTAGAAGATTTGGGAGCCCATATCCTCTGTTTGAGCTTTTGTCTTATTAGTTTTCTTTTTAGATTCAGCCAGGTTCCAAAGATCTGGGGCCTTTACCTCCTCTTACTTCTAGAGGGGAAATGACAGTTGAAGATGGGGCAGTTCCCCCCGTCAGAAGTGTAGTTTTGTTTTCCAGTTGTTTGCTACTAGCTTTAAAAAACTTGTTTTCCTCTTTTAGTTCTTCCACAGAGGAATGATATGTGCTAGTAGTCGGAGACATGTCACAGTGAATGTCTCTGTTGTTAGAGAAAGTTTGATCTAATTTATTCAACAACTCTGCCACCTTAGAAGGAGATTTGATATTGTCACTTATAGGTCCCCATTCTTAAATAATCTGAGCAGCACTCAGGGAAACTCGCGAATCCCAGGAGTTCCTTCTTTGGGATATTATGGGTCCCGGTGTCCAGCCAACATGTTATTCCTTTAAGATAATCCATCCTAAGTATGTACACAGCTGTCTCTTCTGCCTGGCTTGCTAAGAGCAATGTGATAGAAAGCGTAACAAAATGGCAAGGTAGTAAGGTCTTAAGTTACAGGGAGTGGGGATCTGGTTAGATATAACAGCAGAAGACACAGAAATATAGGAAAATAATCTGCTTACTTTCAGAGGGCCTGAAGGTACGCAGGGATCTCTGTTGCTAACCTTTAAATGAGGTCTGGGAAGGAAGGGATGGAGCCTCGCTCCACCTGTTCTAGTCACTCAGGTCCATTGCATGTTCTCTTGGGTTGCCCCTGCCCTCTTACCATGTGCTCAATCACTGTTTCCAGCCACGACTTAGCATTTCCACTACATTGGTCATAGGAAAAGTAGATACGGATGATTTATAAATAATCTTATTTCAATGACTTCTGTGTAAAATTCCTTTATTCTTTTTTAATAGCATGCATTGGGATAGAATTTAACAATTAAAAGCAGTTGTTTTGGAAACAGACCCTATTTCCATGGTTTGAATTTTAACATTACTCACAAAGCTATTTTATTTTAAAATGTATGAGGAAATGTACCATCATTCCCTTCACGAGATGTTTCTGAATGAAGGGTGATATCTGAGGTAGTGAAAATAAATTATACATTATGATTATATATTAAGTAAACTTGTAGTTAGGATCTCTTTTTTTCTACATTTTAACAATTTTAGAAACAGTCTTTTCTGTGTGAGCCAGTTTAACTTATGCACAGACTTCAGTTTAAATATTAAGATAGAATTGTTCAAGATATTGAACACACAGGTTTGATTTACTCTTCAACAGTCACTGAATGTTCTGCACAGGCTCTGCTGATTTCAGTAGATTTTGTATATATTCATGCATCTGATAACAGTAACGTCTAATTACCCTTCCTCTTTTCTTCTTTTTTTCTAGATTGAATGTTCAAGTATATCTGACTACTCTGAAAAAATTATCAAGGCCAACCACTTGGACAACAGTAAGGCATATTACAAAATATTTTTTTTTTCAGGAGAAATAAAAGTGCTTTTTAATTTTCCTAGTTAATTTATATTGTGCGGTCTGTATGTAAATTATAATTTTGCATTATTCAGTTGTATAATCACAAAATTAAAACAAGTGCTCATTGTAGAGACTAGAGCAACTCCTCACAAGGGGAATTACTTCTACCCTTACTTCCAGGCTCATAGACAACAGAAGTGATAGATGGCAGTTTTATTTAGCAAAGCAGTAAGAAGGTCACATAGTAGAGCTGAACAAGCAACAAAATTCCTCTTTCAAATGAATTCTGCCATTTCAGTTCTACCAATCAAAATATTTAATTGCCAGAATAGCAGTATCACTGAGAACTTTTCTCTCTGAACAGAAACTGTAAAATTTCCAAGAATGTGGAAATACTTCAATTTAAATATATATACATATATATATATATATAAACATCTCCCCAACCTATCAAAAACTAAACAAATAATCAAAAAAATCCAGCTAGTTCTAGTCCTTGTTTTCAGTCCTCCAAATCACAGCACAAAATATCTCTTTTTGTAACCTGAAGAAATCAGGCTTTTTTAACTGAGGCCGTGAAACAGTTTTTTAAAGGTGCTCTTTTTAGACAGGTTGAATTTGCTGCAGAGCGACACTGATCACATTAGTTGGATTGTAACATTTTCCTTTTCTCTTAGCTGTGCCTGTTCTGGTGTTGTGCAAGCACAAATTCAGGACTAGTTTTCTGCCTTAATTTTTATTGCTGTCACTGGCAGCATCTAAACAATGGTAGATGTTTGTGAAGAGAGTTTCTCATACATATATGTTTGTTCAAATAAAGCTGGGAAAGAAAAAAAAAATGCAGCAAAAATAATCAGAAAGAACAGTAACATGGATTATAATAGGCAGCCAGTGTATTTGGCTGCTACTTCACAAAAAGAAGGAAGTAAAGCACCAGAAAATGCTCTCCTCCACTAGATGGAGAAGGCATCGAAGCAATGTCAACAACACAGCTTGCTTAGCCCACACCCTTAGTGCAGAGCAGATGGGTTCCTAGAAAGACATTTTACAATGTTTCACTAGCTAGTGAAACTAGTGAAACTAGTTTCACACTAGCCTACCATAAATTCATTTGTATTTGTTCGGATTTCCAACACCAGAAATTGCATGTTAAGGGACACTATAACAGAGTAACTTGTTAGTTTCAGAATTTAACAGTGAGAGTTTTAAATTCAGATAGAATTCAGATAGAATTGTCAATATCTAGAAAGAATTGGCCTTTATATACACATGAACATATATGTTCATAAAACAATCCTGTTTTGCTTAATTTCCACAGTAATTGTGCATATATTAAAATAATCAGTTTTGGGAAAAAAAAAAAAAAAAAAAAAAAAAACCAAAGTTTCTTGATGCTTGGACCAAGAGGCTAGGGTGCGTCCATTATGAAAACCAGTGGAATGTTAGAAAATCTAACCTACAGTACAGTTGACTTTTCAGATCTCCTCCACACTTTTGTCTTTGACTTAAGACTATTTAAGAATACTTAAGAATTTTAAGACTTATTTCTGAAGACCAACATAGACTTCCTTCATGTGAAAAGCATAAGTGAATAATGTTTCAGTTTACAGACAGATACACCTGAGATCTGGTAATAGATGCAGACCTAATATCATTAGTGACTCTGTAGTTCTCCCTTATGAATAATTTGGCTTGATTCTCTGTGGTCTGGATGTCTACATCCCAAGAATCATTGTATTTGTTAGTCAGACTGAAACTACTATTAAAAAAAAAAAAGAATCTCTCTTTGCTGAAGTTACTCCTTCTATATAGTTCAAAGTTGTAAGGCTGCATGATAATGAGGAACATCTAAGGTCATCTCTACTGAAGGGAAGAAGTCCCCCATCTCTTTTCCTTTCCTTCCTACTCTTTATTTCTGGATTACCTTGTTCTAGCACTGTCATCTAGTAGGCCCACTGTCAGATTCATTTCACTACCTGGTGAGTTCGAATGGCTCCAAGAAGGATCCAGTGTGATCCAGAGGTTAGTCTTCTCCATACTTTTTCCAGGGAGAAATTCTCATTTAAATAGGAAAAAATCCTAGAAAAATGAGACTGCTCTGCTGTGGCAGGAGACTGGCTGATTTACAGTTTACACTGACATACATTTAATTTAATGTGAGCAGGTACTGAGTCAAAGGATCTTATTGCTTATGGCAATTTTTCCTGATGTACTGATGTACTGATGTAATACAGCTGGGGACAGCACAGTTTGTTCTCAGATGGTGCCTAACGATGTTTCATCAAAGTAAAGGGAGGTGGGAGGAACTATTCATGCTTTGGCTGTTTTTTGTATAAACATATGGCTTCAAAGTCTGCAGATGTGTCACACTGGCAGCTGTTAACAGCCCTAATATTCATGCCAAAATAGTGGAGGCAGTGAACGTTCTCAGGAAAAAAAAGTGAACTAAAGAGAATTCAATTCATGGCAGGAGCATATAAACACAAAGAGTCTGTAACATATTAACCAATTAACTATTGACCTGCAAAAACTGCAAAAGGAAGGAGTTTAACAAATGAAAATGAGGAGGAAACTGTATTCTCATCCAGGCTGGGTCCTCTAACTAGTTGACACTTTATGTTATCTGTTTGAATGAGAACTTGCAAACTTCATAGAAGGCCAATCTGTTTTTGCTTATTGTGAAAATATAGTAGCCATATCTGGTTAGAGTATGACTAATACTGCATGTATTTTGGAAGAATAGAACCTCATTTTTCCTGGGCTAAGTTCTAAAATTGCTGAACAGCTTACCTAGTTACAGCTAAATAAAGGTACTTTACTTCTCCCCACACTAAATGTTGACCACTTTCAACAAGAAAGCTTACCACCAATAACAATTGCCGGATACTAAGAGTTATACAGTTATGCAGTCCATTATTATATGAAAGTAAAATTTTCCCTAGTCTTCCAGAATTTAAAGCGCATCTGTTGCCTTCTCAAGGTAACAAACTTACAAAACACAAAACCACTAGACTTTGCCCCCTGCAACAAAGAATAGCAGACAAACCCAAGCTAAAAAATATTTTTCTAAAGAATTTAGCCTGTGTTAGAAAATAGAAGATACATGAAAAACATTCAAGAATGATTGGAGAATAGTGTGATGATCCCAACAGGAAATTGTTTGTTACAACTGGATATGGACTAGTACTTAATTTTTAGTATTTACTTAACAAATATTTTTTCATGACAGAACTGTGTTGGTACAACTTTCCTTGTTCGCATACAGTCAGGCTGGATTTGACTTTCTCAACTGAGTCAACTTCCCATGATTCACACGCTGTCTCAGTTTTCTCACTGTAAAGTCAGAATAGTACTTGAAAAGCAGATGAGAATTACATTTTAGCTCCATTAATCTCTAATATCTCAATAATGAGATCAGATGTGTAATTCTACAAGAACGTTTAAATATTTTAAGTGGATTATTTGCACTACTTTGTTAATAATCTAGAAAACGAAATTTATTAGGGCATGAAAAACGAGATCATGCAAGTAAACAGAGTAAGATCTTTCTTCTTTTTGTTTTTATATATGTGCTCTATTAGTGTGGCGGTGTTTTTTTCCATTTATGCTAAAAGTGATGCTTACTGAAGAAAACTTTAAAATAACGTAAAGGTTATCTGAGTCCTGTGAGATCATTCCTAATCTGCAGGCGGTCAAGAAGAGAATGATATTGAAAAAGTCAACCTGACTTTCACTAGCAAGGAAGTCAGGTGTTTTATTACGTGAAACGTATTTCTTTGGATTCTTTTTTTCAGTAATCACAATATTTAAAGGTAAAGTGGAAGAAGTTGAATTACCTGTGGATAAAGTAGACATCATTATCAGCGAGTGGATGGGTTATTGTCTTTTCTATGAGTCAATGTTAAACACAGTCATCTTCGCACGAGATAAATGGCTGGTAGGTGCCCTGCATTTTATGCTCCTCTCTGAAACAGTCAACACTTCTTTTCAGACTACAAGCCTTCCTTCTCCTACTGTTCTCATAACAAAAGACAGTTACATCTCCAATACAATTTTGTAGGCTTTAATGGAAAAGAAAAGAAAACAAAACAAAAACCAAAAATTCTCAGTAAAGGAGATTTGGTTTTGATTGACTGCCGCTGAAATTCATATAGGCATTCTATAATAGCATTGCTACAGGATGCAAGATTTGCTGAGATTAAAGCTGATGTGACAATCTGAAGTAAAACAGAAAAGGCATGCAAGAGATGCTTGTCTGTTTTTTGTTTATGTGCAGTTCAAAATGTGATGTCTTTGTCAGGTGAATAGATTACGAGATCCATTTCCCCACAATTCATCAACAGAAACCAGGAGGGCTAATGTTTCCAGACCGAGCTGCTTTGTACGTGGTAGCAATTGAAGACAGACAATACAAGGACTTCAAAATTCACTGTGAGTACATGCCTAAGGATAACCATTTTCTCCTGTTATTTACCTAAAATATTTGACTTACATTTGCCTTCTGTAATCTCCTTACCAACAACATTTTGCAAAAGCCAAGAATTCATACTAGCCAGGCAGAATTCCAATACAAACAAAAACAAAAATTCTAGTCTGATGAAAAATTAAGTAAATTTTCAATAATTTAAAGTCTGCAAAGGACATACACATGAATGATACAATGTTTACAGCTTTATTAATAGCTCTAAATCTATTTTAAAATGTGTATTTTAGGAGATTTAGTTTCATTGTTGATTTTGTAAATATCCCACATTAAAATTTTAAAAAATTAAATATCCCTTCATTAAAATTAGAATCACAGAATGGTCTGAGTTTGAAGGAACCTTAAATATCATCTAGTTTGAACTCCCTGCCATGCTAAGCGATGCTTACTCTACATCACACTGCTTAAAAACTCATCCAACTTAGCCTTTAACACTTCCAGGAAAGAGGCACCTATAAGTACAATTTCTCTGGGCAACATCTTTCAGTGCCTCATCACAGTCACAGTAAGGAATTTCCTCTTAACATCTAAGATGAATCTGCCCCCTTTTATTTAAAATCATAAAGCACTTCGTAGTGAACACTACGAAAAAGAGAATTCTTGTCATTTGGGTGCTATTTTTGTTGTCTGTTTTGTTTTTAATAAAAATAACAACAGAAAAAATTAACTTGATGCATTTGAACTGTAAAGATTAAGAAATAAGTGTCAAAATTACATTTCACTAATAAATTGTCAGGGAGAAAAAACATGTAACACTTTTTAAAGCACTTCATATTAGCATTTTTAAATAAAAAATAAGGATCATAATTTTCCATTTAATGTGAAAAAGACCAAAGGTTTTTTGCTTTTGCTTCATGGATGCATAAAATTAACCTGGCATTTACATTTAATTTTTTTGCCTTAGGTTTCATTGAATAACTTGTGCTTTAATTGACCTGTAGAGGTTATCTTCTTCAACCTCCTACTCAATGCACACTAAATTTCAAAATTAAATCGGGTCATACAGAACCCAATCCAGCAGAGTTCAGAGATAGGGATTCCTTATTTTCTCTAAGCTGTTGTGTTAACGCTAAAGTACCTTCAAGAGTAAACATGTTTATGAACATTCAGCCAGAATTTTCCATTCTGGAATTGCATCCACTGTCTCTTGTCACCTCAAACACAGTTTTCCTGGAAATACTTCATATCTGAGTGCTTCACTTTTATCACTGCTGTGTCATAATCCTAGTTCACGTCCAATTTATAATCCCCCAGATCTCCCAAGTCCTGGATTTATTTGGTCATAATAGTTTTGATGAAAGAAACAAATTCTACATTGCTTTTTTTTTTTTTTTCCCCCACTTTATTTTTTTCTTTTCGACTCTTATTTATTTACTTCTGAGAGTTTGTCAATTTCACTTACACGCATTTTTTGTTTTAGAAGGCAGGGGAAGGGGGGAAGGGGGAACCACAAAAATTCCTAAGCAGCTTTGTTAATTAAAGATATACACAGAAGTTTCAGCAAAATTTGTTGGTCCAGTCCATCTACAGATGAAAATGCCTAATTCCACTTCCTCCTTTTCCTCTAAAATTCCTCTCAGAAAAAATCAAATTCAGTTTCAATACATAGAACTGCAATGCATATGGGTCATCACGGGTCAAAAGCAACTCGAGTGCAGTAAGACAGTGAAAAAAATGTTTCTGTAAGTGCCAGGTAAAATTGTATCAACTCCTCAAGCATTTCCCAGGTTATTCTCTTCTCTTGTGGTGACCTTAACAGTTAAATTCATTACAAAATTTACAGATTCAGATGCGTGTGGCACCCATTCTGAAAAAGATTCAAAGACATTTTGGGCTAAAAACTCCTTTATTGTCAAACTCCTTTCTTTCAAACTCCTTCCTTTCTAGGCTTTGAGTTTTGTTCTTATCTCAGGATTTAACTCTTCTTTTTTTATACTTTGAAAATCTTCAGGTTTTATTTTCTCTTCTAAAATGTTGTTTTTCTTTAAGACACTTTCTTTTCTGATTTCACCTGATTTCCCTCACTTTTTATACCTCCAGTGTTCACTCTGTAACTTCTTAGTTATTTCCATCTCACTCATAGCTGCACTGCCATCTTGCCTCTTTTCAATTTGTAACTCCTTGATCGTATCTTCTTACATTTCCTCTTTTTCCTCTTTTTTCTCTCTTAAGATGGGGGAGAAAATCTTGCCTTCATGTGAGCTTGAGGGCTGAACTTTTCAAAGTACCTTCAAAAGCCAGCAAATGAAGTAATAAAATATAAGACTTCTAAAAAACATCTGATGTCTCAAACTTGTAATACCACAGAGGACTACTATAGTCAATTAGTCTTATTTCCTGCAAATTGTAAAATATCTTTTCTTAGCTTTTATCTCCTTACTCCTTTGACAGGTTTCTAACATAGACTGTAGCATGCACTCAATGACATTTCATGTAGGCTGAAATACACCAAAAGAATTTTTTCCTCAATGTTTCCTAGGTGATGATGATTTTCCTAGGTCTGACTAATCATATAAAAACAACTGGCTTCTCAAAATAGAATCTGAAGTTCTTTCGGTCATAACCTACTTGGAACACCAGTACCACAGTTCCGGGGAGGAAGAAATAATTGAAAAAACAAACAAACAAACAAACAAACAAAAAAACACCAATGTATTTTACACTTGTCCAAATAGTATAATTGTTATATATTCACTGAATTTTTCTAGCCAGCCTTCTACTCAACACAGGCTGTAATGCCCAGTGACGCTTACAACGTTGTTTTTAGACTTTCAAATAGACTGCTGAATTAAACCTGATTCACGTGATAAGAATATTTCATGTTTTTTGAAGTTTTTATTTTGTGAATCAATCTTAAACGTAGAGCCAGTTTACTTTTCCCTAAGTTACTATTAATTCAAGGAAAAAAACCAAAAACACTCAGCAAGTTTAAATGCTGGAGATCAGCATGGATTTAAAATAGTTTAGAGGAAGGATACTTTGCTTTTTGCCATGATGTCAATGCAGATTAGATCTTGAATCTCCCAAATGCTGAAACACACATGAAATTCTACTTCTGTCACTAATTTGCTTCTTAAAGAGCATATGTAAAACCAGGTGACTGAATAGCAACCTAAAAAAATCCCAGATGAATATGAAAGGATAGAATACATTTCTAGGCCTCGGTCTGACACGTTATATAATTTTGAGCAACACTCCCAAATATCTAGAACTCTGAACAATCATCAAGTCTCGTAACAGAGTTTAGGGTGGGGGCATCCAAAAACACAGGCCACTTGATAAAAGATGTACATCAATGTTTATTTTGCCACAACTGCATTATCCATAAAATAGCAGCAATGACATGGACAATTGTGGCACCTCAGCAAAGAGTTAATGAGAACAAAATCAGCTAATCATAGAAATACTTTCAAAGGAAATATGCTTGAGAAGCAAAAAATATTTATATTACTGCTGGTTTCTAACACATCCATTTGCATTGACAGGGTGGGAGAATGTGTACGGCTTTGACATGACCTGTATTAGGGATGTTGCCATGAAGGAGCCTTTGGTGGACATAGTAGATCCAAAGCAAGTGGTGACCAATGCCTGTTTAATAAAGGTTTGGTAATTCCAAATTCATCTAACTACGAATGTTTACATCTAACTGTAGGATTCTTTGGAAACCTGCTGCTTTTGCTTTACTAATATCTTCGTACGCTTCTAACTAGCCAGACAAGCCATCACCGTAGAATACTATCACAGTAAGACAAATTTTTAGAAATTTTAAAATTAGTTCAAATTAGTTTAAAAATAGAGTAAATTGGTATGTTGCACATGCTCAGCTGTCAGCTAAACTAAGCAGTACATATTATGGAATGCCTCAAAGTGAGACGCTCCTTGTAACTCCACTCATTGGACTACTTCTATAAACGGTTGTCAAACTGTAACTTAAACTCTTCGAATTATAATGTGCAAATACTGGATAGAGACATGATGTATTAAATATGAATTCTAGTTGCCTTACCTTCTTGTAAACAGAGGCTGAAAATTACCAACGGCAAGCTGCTGAGAAAGAGTAAATTATTTCTGTTTGTAGTTTATGAATTGCTTGGTTCTGATGAAGTAACTCTAGTTTATTCCAGACAATGAAATCAGAATTGGAACCTAATTTTTGTGAATATTCCTAATTCTTAGGCTTATCCAGAATGTTGCTGTTCTCTCCCAGTACCAAGTCTTGCGGACAGAGATTGACTTCTACCCTCTTGTACATAAAAGACAGAATGGTCACAAAACCAGGTTAGAAGTCTGTAGCTACAGGAACATGTGAAAGCTCTAAAATTCCTCTCACGTGCAGGAATCCTCGAGATGTGGGACTACTCACATGAATAAAGATTTCTGTTTCAATAGGAGCAATGGAATCAGGTCAATGAAGCAGAAGTTTGCTCATTCACCGCAAAGACTCAGTTCCTTTTCATTCTCTGGTTAACTATAATCATTATTCAATCCTTTTTCCATTAAGTTATTTAAAATGAAATGTGGTAAATCACAACTCTTCTACTTACTTTATTCTAAGCCTTTACCCCCTGAACTGTTAGTAATGTTCAATGAACTGTGTACTTCAGTAGAACATATAAACATATACTTGACAGAATAAGAGGATCAGCAAAACCAGGATCAGGCCAGGCTCAAAAATAAGCTAATTAACCCCCTGCAAAGTTTAATATCCTGCATACTAATAAAAAAATAAATGTAAAAAGCAGGTTTCTGTTCTTAGAATACCCTTCAAAAGTGAAACAATTTTACCCAGAACTTAATGTTTCTGAAACATTTAAAGTATTTGAATATGTAGGTAGTAGATGTTTTTTCTGTATTGGATAGGTGGAATATTTGGGAATCTAATGTAAAACATAATGAAGAAACTTGCATTATTGTGCTTCTGCTGGCACTTACGCCTAAATAAAAAAAGAAATCTCTCTCCTGACTGCCTAGGAATTGGTTCACTGCACACAGGATTAAAAAAAAAAAATAATCCACTTTTCAGACAAAAAAAATGTAGCGAGTCATGGTTACATAGAAATGTACTAGAATCATTTTCATTATATTCAGATTATTTTTGAATGTTTCAAATAGACAGATAGACCAAACCAATAACTTGCACAGATCATCTCACCATAAGTTTTCAGTTTATCAGAAAGATATGAAATGTAGAGAGAGTCACAGAGTCCAGGAACTGAAATATGGTTGTGCTTTTAACGCTTATTTGTACACGGTTCTCTTAGGTTATAAAGTATAAGTAAGATCCCTCTATTCTGCATGGACATTCTAATCTCCGCTCTCCATTCCTGAAGTGTAAGTCTGAAGTAATGCTGGTGAAATCAATGATATGATTCACAGTTTACATTGATGCAGTAGAGGAATCCTGGATTTCTGCCTACAAAATATTTATGGATAGCATGGATAATTTTGTTGTTGAAACTGATTTTCCTAATAACAGAAATCAAAGTATTTTGAGATCTCCTGCTAATTATGCCCTGACAAAGATAGTGAAGCTTGAGATACTTACAAGAATATCAAAAAGTAAATTGATAGGAAAGACATTCCAATGCTATGGAAAATAATTGATAATATTTCTATATATATATATGACTTAGTAATATACCTATCAATCTTACACCTATCAATCAGTATCAATCTTGGAAGCATCCCTGATAAAACCTAAATAAATACCTAGCTGGGAAAATCAGATCAATTAAAAAAAAAAAAAGTTTAAGCCTTGAAAAGCGTGATTTAAATATCAATAGAAATAAGCAATCTTGTAGACTCATCTTTGCTCCAAACAGTTTACAGAATCTGCTTTTGTATAGTTGAAGGGTAATATCTCTCTGCCTGCTAATTAGAAACCTTTGTCTGACACAAGATTAGAAAAGTTACCAGCAAAAACCAGTCTCCTCAAATGACTCAAATGTTTTCACTGCTTAACACAACATAGTCACAGAATATCCCTCCCAGAAAAGTGCAAACAAATCAGAAGTTTGTTTTTACTTTAAAATAATAATAATAATAATAATAATAATAATAATAAAAAACCCTACCGTCTTACGCTGACTGTACCAGAGAGGAAAGATCTTAAAACTGGGTTACGTATCTCCATTTCAGCATCCATCGAACCTATATTTATCAAAGTATCATTTTACCTTAGTTTTCTCCAGCACCCGTCATTCCTCCCTCCCATTCCAAAGGGCACACTCTCTTCTATGACTGGCCTCTCTTATCATAGAATCAGCTCAGTCAGGTAGCTGGATCATTTGCTGATTTAATATATTCAATTGTACCATGAATTTCTTACAGCATAAATGATCGCTAGTTATCTTGGTTGTTGATCATTAAATAAAATGCTTAAGTACATCACCTTAACAGTTACCTTAGTCACAGACATCTGAATCTAAAGAGTTACTTCATTCTCTTCAAAACAGGAAGTAGATATTTATACAGTGAAGACTGAAGAACTGGCATTTACTTCAGCATTCTGCCTCCAAATTCAGCGTAATGATTACATTCATGCATTGGTCACCTACTTTAATATTGAATTTACAAAGTGCCACAAAAAGATGGGATTTTCTACAGGTAATCCATTTCTATTTCAAACTGTTTGTCAGTACTGCTGGTCAGATGGTACATGAGGGTTTACTGTAACAAAAAGTTTTCATTTCAGTGATAAAAACTATCATCCTTGAAGGAAGTGATCAGGATAGAGAAAGGACAATTGTAGAAATTCTGCAAAAGCAGTGGCAGTATTTCACATAGCTACCAATCTTACAGCTCAGAAAGAACTATAATCCTGGAGTTCGTGCTCATCAGCAGTTATAGTCTTGCTCCAGTTTATAGGAGGGAGATGAGGTTCTTTTAATATCTGTATATCTGGCGTGAGATTAAGAAACAACAGTTCATATGTTAGCCCAACCAGTTTATTATAAATTCTAATCAGGCAGACAGGGAAGGAGGGCAATAGAAAAGATAGGAAAGAAACAAGAATTGTGTAAAGCGGGGACAGCCACCACCAGGATCCAGCAGCGGTCCCGTTGCACGACGAAGGTCCAAGGCAAAAGCACCAGGGGGTGGGGGGAGAGCAGCAGAGTGGCCGGCCTTGGGCAGCAAGCAGGTAGCAAGAGACAGTCGCAGAGCCAATCCGGGAGGAAGCAGCACAACTCAGGTAGCAGGCCCAGGAAAGTCCGTCAGCATGCAGGAATTCCATAGTGAGGAATCTGAAGGCAGACACCTTTGTTCTTCTTCAGCATTGTGGCAGTGTGCAGAGCAAGTCCAGGAGGGAGAGTGGCAGGTCGTGAGGCTTCTCATGGCAGAAACCTCTTCCTCATGAGGAATCTGTTGCCAGAAAATCTAAACCTCCTGATTGTAGGTCCCCATTTTATCCTCCTTTTTCTGCCTATGTGACATCCCTGGGTGCTTGAGCAAGAGTCATGTGAGTATCCCCTGAGATGGCCATCTTCCTCGAGATAAGCCCACACAAAAGACGGCTTCACGGCCATTAAGCTGCAGCTTATCTCGCTCTCGTTGCCCCTGGCCTTGTCCAGCTGCGTCCTTCAGACAAAGGATTTCTCAACCCCTGCCTAGGACTTGCCTGGACTTGTTCATCTGTGTCTCCAACAAGCTTTGAGACAATGATGTAAAATAATAATCTCTTACAGTATCTTAATCCTATATCACATTTCTTGTGGGAAACAAGGAACAAGAGATTGTTGCCTCAGTAAGAAATAGCAGCTCTGGGTCCCAGCTTCCATGAAATCCGAAACTCAACAAAAGTTTCTTACTTGACTCAGAATCTAGAACAAAATTATCAGTTTTTCAATAACATAACCACACACATACTGCTTATGTAAATTGGCTCAGTCAATCCATACATGAAGCCCTAACTTCCCTAGGTGAGCAGATACTTAAAGGAATAATTGGAATAATTCCAGTCCTGTGCCAGAGTGAGTAAACCAGTGTCACAAGAAACGTAAAAATCTTGCAATTGCTTTAATGATGAGAACAACAAACAGTAGTTACCGGTTCTTCTTTTTATTAAACTTGATGATGATTTAGCATTGTCATCTCTCTCTGACATTAACTTAATTTCTGCACTGTAGTATTCTAAGAACAGGTGAGAGTTCTGAATTTCGGATAATCCGTTTTAGGTCTCCTTAACTTGAAAAGGCAAGCATTTTCTAAACATCAAGTAGGATAATACCAGAAGTTTTGAAGAATGATTGCAAAGTGTGTGCTGCCATCCTCAGGATTTATAGTATTTTTTTCTCTTCCAAATACAAAGAGCAGCAACAGAATTTTTTGGGGAAAAAAACCTGAATACAAAATAGTTGAATAGCGTGTGCTTGGTCCTGAAGACAAACAGAAAATGAAGACAAACCAAAGCAAGCATTCAATTCTAATAGAATTAATTAATTAAAATACTTGTGCAAAGGAACCCCAGATTTAACTAAGACTAGCACTTGGCAAAATTTATCGTTTTGTTCTAAATTTAAAGGGCATCAAAGTGGTTCTACTAAGAGAGATTAGGAATTCACTTAGGCTGGTATCCATTTCTGTCAATCATCCATAGCATATGATGTTTGAAAAAAATAAAAAACAAACAGGTTCAAATGCCTTTTCCCCAGACATGTTCTCCTGAAAAATCTCTGTTTTGTACTCTTTCAGCATGGTGAATCAAAGATTCTTCTGTGGTTAACATTTCATGCACAATTCTTTGTGATTTTCTGATTTTGAATTAATCTATACTTCTGACATTCAAATAACTTAGTGATGAAGACTTCCCCAACTTGAATGTGTTTAAGTTAATAGGAATGCATACAGAAAGTGCCTGTCATGCTCACTAACATTCTTCTTGGAATCCCTCTTGCTGTCTGTAATCACATCTAACACATTCCAGTAAAACTTGGATGAAAACCCACTATCAGTCAGTAGAATCATAGTTGCTATGATTGTCCTTAAGCTCAACTATTAATACTGTATATGAGTTAAAAGTATTATAGGCCCTTTTTCATTTGTTTGAAAGTCTTAATTTGAATTAAGGACAAAGACCAAATTTCTTTAAATAAAGCCCATGTATGTTTTCTAGCACCTGATGCTCCCTATACTCACTGGAAGCAAACTGTCTTCTACTTAGAAGACTATTTAACTGTGAGACGAGGAGAAGAAATCTATGGGACAATATCCATGAAACCAAACGCAAAAAATGTGGTAAGTCAGCATCACTGCTTCTAATTCCAACGCTACTGATGACAAATAATAATCAGCAGTAATTAAATTGTGTATGAGTAAAACACCGAGTACGCTAAAAACACTAAATTTGTGTATTTTAGTAAAAGCTGTATTCATAGCTTCACCAAAACTGGTGACAGCAATGATAACATAGTGCTTACATTACAGAAGACAGCTTGCAAACCAGCTAGCAAGAGAAGGAAGAAATCGTCCAGCTACATCACCAGGTCCGCTGCCCTCTGAAACAATTAGAATCATAGGTTGTGAAAAAAAGCAGGCAAGGGTTTCTTCATACTGTCACTAAAATCAGAAATAAGAGCCCCCTACCAGTACAGAATGATTGAGGAAATCCTATAATTAGAGCCACATTTTCCACTCAGCACCCAAGAATTCACCTTTCAGGAAATTAAGTAACAGATTCCAGTTGCTTCTGTATGAACTCACTACTCAAACTCACTATGGTTATTTCAAAACTGTGGCTGTCTATAGAAAATACTGATGTTTTGTTCAAGACCAAAGCCAAAACATGATAGATATCACTCTATGATGACCAAGAACTTCCTCAGTTTGTCTGCTATGGGCTGATGTCTTGAGTTAGGGCCTCTTTTAGCTTATGAGGAGACTATGGGACAGAGTCTGATGGACAACCACTACCAGTACAGAAAAGCAAGATATGAGAAGTATTGCTTCCATGAGAAACTGTGGTACCATTTTCTGCCAAAACCCTTTAATGTAATCTCCTTGGTTTTTATTACTGCAATTGTCGCATACTGCCATTAATATAGTGTGATAATAATCCATTCAAGCTGTCATTGTAATTGTTGGAACATTGTATTCATTGACTGCAGTGAATCTTAACATTCCATTGCTTTCTTTTATTGCATGACTTGCCCTATTTTTTTCTACCAAAACTAAATTGTATACAATTTTCATGAAAGTGTTGATGCATAGGAAGAATTAAACATGAATTAAGCCTAGCATTAAAACAATCACTTTCACTTCTGAAACTTACTCTTTGCTGTGAGAATACAGGCGGACAGTGTGATTCCCGCTTTAATGTTGTCTTCAGGTGGCATGGAAACATTTTCTTTTGCCTTGAATGTGTCAGTCCATTGCCCTTTTCTCAAGGAAAAAAACAAAAATCAAATTTGTTCTCACAACACCTATTGCAGGTGGTAAAATGAAAATCTTCTTAATAGTTATCATAAGACAGACTATCTTAGTATTCTTAGATTAAAAATTGTTTCTTAGCACTTGGACCTTCTGAAATATGAAGTCTTCCAAAAGCCTGTAGGACACCTTCATCATTTTGAGAGACTGTGTTGTGCCTCTTTCCAAAAAAAAAAAAAAAAAAAAAAAAAAAGACTAAGGACTGGTCTACAATGGTAAGTTTGGTAAGTTTACCTAATCTGTTCTGGAATAGCTGTTCGATTGAAGACCCTTTACTCAATGAGATATGCTTTTAAAAATTATAGAATAGTTACAACAGCACAGTATTTCAGAAACCTTCTAATTGTAACCAGGACAGTAAAGCAGTCTTGAGAAGAATACAATATACCTTAGACAAAGATTACATGGTGACATTATACTTCTTACATCCTGCTTTTTCAATGCTAGCAACATTTCAAAACAAAAGAACTCAGAAACCACGGCATGTAACTCTTAAGATTGCGGGTCTTTTCAAACTGAACAATAACTGAATTCAAACACTGGATTTATGGTCTTGCTTACATTTACATCTTCTACAGCGCGACCTGGATTTCACCGTTGACTTGGATTTTAAAGGACAGCTATGTGAAGCATCAGTATCTAATGACTACAAAATGCGCTAGCAAGAAACCTTTCAGAGAGATGAAACAAATTCTGTGAAATCTTGAACTGCTGAACTTCAAGCTAGGAGCAAATGCTTGCACGATTACCATATTAAATATTAGAATGTTTACTCCAGTGGAAAGTGGTAACATGATCCCTCCTACAGATGGTATAGAAGGTTGGGATCCCACTGTGAATGTACAACATACGGAACTACAGCTCTTGTCAAATATACGGGGAAAACAAAGAACAGAATTGAGTGTTCTGTTTGACTTTAGGATGCCAGAAGAAGCACATAAAATTGTACTATTTATAATGAATTTCTGGTTCTTCCAAGCTTTGCATGTTACAAGTTGATTAGGGCAGTTTCTTCAATATAGAAGACCACTAAAAGACATTATAGCTGGACTTACGTTCAATATAAATACTATATAATATAGTATAAAATAGTATATTATAATATGATATATATTGTACATGAGAAAAATGTTTATTCGTAATAGGAACTCATTTTGTGATTACTTAATTTTAATTATGCAGTTATGGAAAGATGATATCACTACTCTAGACAGCGCTACTTTTCAGCTCTAATTAACTGCCTAAATTATAGCTTTGGGAAATACTCTGAGCACAATGCAGGTAAGAGCTGAGAGTTTATAAAGGATCAGCAAGCATCTCTTAGAATATCATCTGGAAACTGGACCATGAATTCTAAAATTCACTTTCATAACTGGATGTTTGTTAGAGCTTTAAAGAACATCAGCTTGCAAATATCCTGCAGTGAGTTCCTATAGGTGGATTTTGCATGAGACCTTCTGAAATCAGGCACGTAGTACTTAAATGTGATGAATGCAAAGTCTCTGAAATGGTGGGTAATTCATGTTTTGTGGCCATGTAGTTTTTGCCCATTTGAGTTCTCCGCAAGATTCTAAATACAGAATCATTTTAAAAACTAGAGTTTTTCTTTCATTAATGTTTCAGATAAGTTTTAAATTGCAAATACTATTCTCAAGGGGTGCAATGGTATGCTGGAATGAGTTAATGTCTTAAATAAATATATATTGCTTCCAATATTACTAAGATGTCTGTAGCTTCCCCATCCTCTTACACTCCTTGTTTTTCTTACAAAATCTTATGCTTATAGGTAAATATTGACTGTAGTTATTCACATGTGTTGTTACTGTATGAAAGCTGACCATGGAATCACAAGTAATTTGTCAAAAAGTGAATCATCAGTTCTAAATATGCATCTTCTAGTCTCTAGTGCAGTGCACTGCATCATGTTCCATCATATATTGGATGAGACTATTTTTTGCCTGAAAAATCTTTTTAATCACCTATAAATAAAGCTTACGTGAATATACAAGCAAACAGTGTTGCTCAACAGTAAGTTTTTTGTAGGTTCTTATTTTGCCAGTATAAGTTTGTCAGCTTCTTACTTTCCAGAATATATTTCTATTGCTTTTCCCTTCATGAAAACGGTACAGTACCTCCATTTAAATGTAATATCTAAGAATTACGGTCTAGGGATTGTACCACATGGTATCTATGGAGAATGAAATTAAACTATAATTTAGCAGAAAAATGCAGTTTGCAGTGCAGTTCCTTGCAGTTCTTTTAAAGCACTTCATTTCATATTCCCGGAATGAGGGTAAACTACTTTCCTCACCAAATTACTGGCTTTTTTTTTTTTCCTGTCAAATACTGCTGTCATTTTCAAGGAATCAGCTCGTAACAACACTTTGAGTGAGGGCTTGGAACATAAAATCTTCAAGAAATACCTTTCTGTCAAGTTCATGACTTCATGAATCTAGGACTTCAAGGTAAGGAATTCTACCAGATTTTTTTCCTCTGTCCTTTCCACTTCTAAAGAGACTCTCAAATTTAAAACAGTGTTTGTTTTTATCTTCTCCTTTTCTGCAAATCACTCAGGTGATTATAACTTAGAGAGGAAAAACTCCGGCTTTGTTTATCTGTCTTACTCCTTGATAGAACTTCAAGCCATGCACTGGTGACTAGTTTATTCAGAGAGGATGGCAAAATAAGTCATATTTGTCTCTGGAAAACTATCCTTGTACTACTCTTTCACATCACACTGAAAGCATAGCACATGCTTCTCCATCACATGAGCTTAGAGAACATGCTACAGAGCTGGCTATCTTCAAATCACAGTGATCAAAAGACAAAATTAGGCTTCTGAGTTCCATACGCATGTCTCAAACCACTAAGATTCTGAAACCACCAATGAGTTCAGCATACATAGTGTCTGTTATCTTGTCATTAGTGAAACAAATGCAAGATTGACAGCTACATGCGATTAGCTGATAGGCTTTCTTCAGCAATTCAGCAAGTAAAGAACTAATTACAAGTAACTAACACAAGGTCTGAGCCTAACCTTATTAAGATTTGAATAAGAAAGTCAGTCACACGCATCAGGATTTAATCCAAGTCACTCAATTTCAAAGCTGTACATTAAAATACTAATGACAAAACAACTTGACCTCTGAAACAGACACATCTTTAAAGCTTTTAGTTTACTTTCCACCAATAGGAAAAGAAGATCAAGAGCTGAGCTCAAAGCATAAAATAAATTTAAATATAATAGTAACACATCCCTGATGAGTAATAAATACAGCACTGGCAAAATGAGAAAGAAAGTCACTTCTGCCTTGACTGTGATCTTCAAGAAAGTTTATTAAAACTCATCAGGGATTGTCCTGTCACTTCAAGAACAAAGGAGCATCCAAAGAAGCTAGATCCAAGGTATGCCTCAAAAATGCACTGAGTACAATTTGTATGGGCAGCGCCTATAGAATTAGGGAGGCAGTCCTCACAAATGTTAAGAACACCGTTCTACGGTCCTTAAGTTCTTTACAGAACAGTATACTATAACTCGCAAGCATTTATCACTCCCAGTACCAACTAGCTCTTGCCAGATGTTATTAAAGTTAGGAAGAAAATTAACGATATCCCAGGACACAGTAGAGCAAGTGGTAGAGCAAGAAGGCAAAAGAATGACTTGCTGCTTATTAGAATCTGCCTGCTCACTTGTTCAACTGGAGTCAGCTGACAAAGAGAAGAATGTTTTAGCAACAATGATTCCTGCTACATATGAGAAGGTGGGTGAGAGGAAAGGAGAGATAGAGAGAGAAAGGAAGGGACGCACAGAAAGAGGGATGCAGAGGGGGGGACACGCAGACGGAGAGAAAGAGAAAGGGATGCAAAGGGGGAGGGAGGGGGGGGGGAGAGAGAGAGAGAGAGAGAGAGAGAGAGAGAGAGAGAGAGAGAGAGAGAGAGAGAGAGAGAGAGAGAGAGAGAGAGAGAGAGAGAGAGAGAGAGAGAGAGAGAGAGAGAGAGAGAGAGAGAGAGAGAGAGAGAGAGAGAGAGAGAGAGATCACGGACATGCAGCAAGAGGGAGATCACGGACACGGATTGATTTACGGAATCGAACTCTATAACCCAGAGTTAGGTTATAAAGCAGGTATGTTTTATGTTATGTTTACGTTTATGTTTTATGGCATTTGGCACCAAGCTGGGTGCAAGGGGGATAGCTCCTCCAAACTTGCACACCATAGGACAAAAACTTGGTACAGATATAGGCTGAACTAATACATAATCAGTGTTTTTCTCGGAATTCATTACAATTCATTACATTTCCGAGAACCCACCAGCATACGGTCCCTCCCTCCTGCACGTGCGCCGTGGGCAGTGGGGGTCTTCTTCTGGTGGTCATGGGATGAAGGCTCATTGTCTTCAACCGAAATAATCCCATCAGACCTGTTCCTTGTGTGATGTTCTCTTCAAGTTTACAATAGAGTTTCAAGATGTTCTTTTCTTATCTGGCCTCACATCCTGCTTACCTGCATTCTTATGCAGTGGTTAACCCTTATCTTGTCCTCTCTTTATTCACTATGCAATGGTTAATCCTTATTTACTGCACATCCTGCTTGCTACATTCTTTTGTCTTGCCTTCCTTTACAGCCGGCCCATGTTTCCCACAACTCAAAGAGAGAGAGGGAGGGGGCACACTGAGAGAAATATCCAAACAGAAAGGATAGTGGATTTGGTAAACAGATGAGGTGGGGTTATTTTGCTATAGGACTAATTACATAGACTAATTAGTGATGGAAAAGCCTTCTGAAAATCCTTGCTGTGCTAGGGGTTAAGGCTAACTTCAAGCTAGATTATGTTTCTCAGAGCTTTGTTCAGACAAGTCCTGAACATTTCCAAGAGCAAAGGTTTCATAGCCTCTACAGGCACCGACAGATTCATTATTATTATTATTATTTTTTCCTACATTCAACCAGAATTTCTCTTGTTACAGCTTATGTATAATCAATGAATGCAAAGATGCTATAATCATGAAATAAACGAGAGCGTTAGGCAAAATACTGCTCTGTTATAATAACTAAAGGAGAATAGATAGAATGCTTACCTACACCCTGGGCTCCCTGCAAAACTGCAGAGAAGGGATCTCCAGAAGAGATCCTTTCCCTATGGTAGTCAGCTCTTAAATGAGTCTAGGACAGGTGGAGCCAGGCTCCACCCCTTCCAGCAGCACAGGTGAATTCTCTTCCTGATCAATCAGAGGTTCAGGTCATGATTCAACAGTTCCCATATAGCTTGGTACTACTGCTTTGTTCTTTTACTATGCATCTCTGAGAAGAATTAGATAGAGGAAGATACAGTTAGTTCTCACTTTACACCACTCATGGCAGCTCCCCTCTTACCTTTATGTGACCGCACCCTAGCCTTTCTATATGAGTTACATCACCTAACTGCATTCTCATCTCCCCTTCCCTTCTCACCCTCTTTTTGTCCCCCAGAAGCTAGGTGTATACATATTGGCTAAATATATATAAGGGTTTTGCAAAAAATGTAACTTCAAGACTAATTAAAGATAATTTTGTGTTTTCTTACTGTGTTGTGGTATGTGTATGCATTTTTTGAGGAATATTTAGGTGGTATGGAATATCTCTTTAAGTAGTTTGGGTCAGCTTTCACGGTTCTGTCCCTTCCCAGATTCTTGAGCACCCCTGTGTCTTTGCTGGCAGTGCAGTATGAGAAGAAAGAAAGTCCTTGTGAACACTGTGAACACTGCTCAACAACAACTAAAACATCACTGTGTTATCAACATTTCTTTTATCCTAAACTCAACATCAAAATCGTATCAGCCACCATGGAGAAAATTGAATCTATAGTAGATGAAACCAGGACACATTCACAGACCAGTTCCAATTTGAAAAGTGAGGTCCTTAGTCCTTTTCAAACATTTCTTTTCAGCGTCTTTGAGACTTCATCTCAGATGTTAATACATCATGCTACAAAGAGCACAGTCAAGTGGGAGGAAGTCAGATCTTCTAACTTCTCTCAAGGAGGCCAACAAGTGTTGTGTGAAGCTGTAACAGCAGTATGTGAAGGAAAGCATTTCTATTCCAGTTAGACAATAACACACATGATTACAGCAATTTTTAAGCAATAAAGTGAGAATATGGGAGGACATGAGCAACAGAATTCAAAAGATGTGTGGTATCCTTTACCAGTAAATACCTAAAGATTTCTGAGGAAAGGACTTGTGAAAATACTCATCTGATAAGCTGATTCAGCACCACCCACTATTAAGTATAGCTGAGACAATAAAGCATAACATCTTCTTGCGCCATGGAGTGCTTTCATAATTTATTTCAGAGTTATATTATGGGGGGTTGTAGTTGGTGTGAGACCAACTGTTAGGCTTCAGTGTCGGTACGCAAAGACATGCAAAATGTTTTGTGTGACTGAAACCATGCAAGAAATGGTTATCTGTTGGTTTTTTTTTTTTCATCTGCACCACAACTATCTTGGTTGTAACAGATCCTTAGAGGTCTCTAGTCCAGTTTATTGGAATGAATGAACTAATGTATCCTGTCATTTCAGTTTTTATATGGGGCATGTATTGCAGGGTGTTTTCACACCATTTGGAATATGGTCAGGAAGAAAAGTCTAGAAAATATCTAGCCACTTGGATTATAGGTCTTAGCTGAACCAACAAATGGCAAAGTTCTCTGTACGCTTTACAGGGGGCAATATATGTGACCTGAACAATGCCAGATAAGAAAACACTGAACTTTTCCACTGAGAACCTGACAGGTGAGAATAAAGTTGCACCAAAAAGTAGCTCCCCTGCTCTCTAAGGAACTGCAGGACTATGGAGCAAGTCAACATCAACTGGAAGAATACCCAGAGGGCTGCCAATCTCCCTCAGCAGAAGTTCTGCTCACAGTGATGAACTGAATGCTGTGACCCTTACCTAGATTCATCGTAGGAGTGTTTACTACAGAAGTAAGTCCTTGGCTTCCAACAGCAGTAATAAAAAAGATCATTCTTATATTATCTGAATCATCCATTACAGAAGGACTGTATGGCCTGCATGAAGAAACTGGCATCTTCAAAGCTGTGACAAGTCCCCCCGGATGCTGTATGACATTTGAATCAAAAAAACATCATCCAGAGATGTCAGCTGTGTATTGGTGCCTAGTCCAACATTTTTCCAAGCTCACAGTGATTCTCTGTGAACTATCTCCTCAGTCTTGAAGAGGTAGCATTGGGCTACGGTGTCCAGTTCTGGGTTCCCCATTCCAAGAAAAGATAGAGATCTCCTAGAGGGGATCCTGTGAAGGACCACAAAGATGGTAAATGTCCTGGAGCAATCTCCCATATGAGGAAAGGCCTGGGTTTGTTCAGCCTGGGGAACCTGGGTCTGTTCAGTCTGGGGAAAAGAAGACTGAGAGGGGATCTGAATGATAAGTATTTAAAGGGAGGTGGGAGGCAAATAAATGAGACT